CAGGGCTCAGGCTAACTACCCGGCCATTCGTCCTGACCTGGTGAAAATTGAAAAGGACGAGTGGAATTTACAACCACACTCGTCCCGGTGCCAAGTCAATATTACTGAAACATACACTAGATCTGTCGCCTAAATATTGTGATGAATAATCAATGGAACACTTTTTACCAAGTAACTTTCGTCACAGCATCGGAAGTAAACAACGTAAAACATGCCGTTTTCATGCTTGTCATAAAAATCACCCGAGCGCTTGAATCAAAGCGTCCTGAACGATGTACTGCGGGGCCCGACTGCAGCAATCGCAGCAGGGAACTAGACTACTTAATGTTCCGTAACTAATCGAAACGAAAGATGGAAGTGAAACTTCACCCCTTTTCACAAAAAGTAGTGTTGACACGATACATTTGATGAATGGAAATCAAACATATGTTGCTAGTTATGATGTGTAGTAATTGTGTTCACAAAAAAACCATTCATGGACATTGAACAACATCATCTTAACAGGTCAACAGATCAGTAAATATTTATTGAAATTTTTCCTAATCTCAGGTGTACAGTAAAATTTCTGGAATGCCGAGTGGATTTTTCATGCCACTAGGCACAGTGCCTAGTGGTTTAAAAAGTTAAGCCTGAGCCCTGAAACATTAATCAACATTGCAATACCGAGCAAATTCAACCAATTTAAATTTAATACAGAGAATTTTGGCATAATTAAGGCCCCTTCCCCTACATAATTTCTGCTGTATTTTTTCCAAAATCAATGTGAAAATCACTTTATTTTCACAAAATCAAGATTTTTGTGGGAGATATTTCCCTATTAACCCTTATCCCGCCAAGTGCAGCATATGTCGTTTTTATAAACCCGTTTCCCACTGCCAAGCGCGGCATACGTCGTTCCGCAAAACATGCCTTCCACTGCCGATCGCGGCATATGTCGATTCCGGGATTGCCGTTTTAAGTACGGAACTGCGGTGAGAAAATCACTGCTAGCTTTACTTAGAAATGATGACGTATTCGTTTATACCTTAATTTCATTGGCTGACTACGTGATACCCACAGTTTATTTATAAACTAAGCCACCATGACCGCGAGAGCATAGATTCGTTTTGTTGACAGCGCGGAAAAATGGCGGACGACAAACTGACAGAAGACGAATCGAACGACTGTAGATTATCAGCGATATATTTGACAATGACTTTTAGGGATTCGGACCTGAAGATTTACTACGTGACGCAGAAATCGTACAAGATATTGACTTTGATCAATCATATAAAGACGTGGACATTCCTGAAGACGACGACAACACAGCGTACCTCCATAAATGCCCCATTCACGGGACGGCCCGGTTTGAACAAAGATATTCCAGGTGACGGCGACCCTATTCATTTTTCTCTCTCTTCTTTTTAACGTCAATATACGGACGACTCTTACGACAGAATACTAAGTACTTTTGATTATGAAACTTGGAATTGTTTTTCAGGTGATGGTAATAAATAAACTGTTTATTAGATGTAAATCATCTTTCTAACATACAAAATACACACAAAACTCAGCTTTTCTAACCTGTAGTTCGGGAAAGGTAAGCGAGATATCCGAAATTACTTTTGATATGAAAAGAAGAAGTCTTCCTGAACAAAACACTTTATATATATTTTCTTGGATTCTAATAAGATAAAAAGTTATTGTTGGTTTAATCAGATAATTAATTTTGATTAATATAGCTGTTGTTTATTTGGCAGTGGGAGGTATCCCACAAATTGTATACACAGCAGTGGTGTGTATATATACACATGAGTGAATGGCGGGATAAGGGTTAAAAGTCAAAAGAAACAGGCCCCTGTGGAGCGCAGGTATTGACAAGATTTCAAATCTTGACTAGCTTCAGCTTTTGTTATGTACCTGGATGGTGTATTTGCAGACACCCAGAGTGTTCCACAGTTTGATGGTCTTGTCCCGGGACCCAGACACAATCTGTCGGTTATCCGCAGAAAAGGCAACACTCATCACATCTTTCTCGTGATCTTTAAACATTCGGGTGGTGGATCCACTGCAAGTTCACAACATCATAAATCAGTAAATGTTATAAAAATATCCCAACAAAATACCTTTTATAACGGTATGGACAACACATCCAATAACAAGCCATACCTTAGATTTGTCTCCTAGTTTCATGACTTTGAAACCACTTCTAAAAATATTTTTCTGTAAATCAAGACCAAATGATTATGTGCACTCTCATAATTGCAGGACAATTTTCTTTCAAACGTTTCCGTCAGTAATTGTAAAATGTGTCTTTTTTTTAATCATCAAGTGCACCATTATATTATCGAACATGTAGTACACATGAAAACTGGATCTTTCTACCTTATATTGCCTAGTACAATTGTCATAAAGTAACAGCTAAATCAACACCTTTTCAGGGATAATCCTGGAATTTGAGAGCAGTGGGCCATTTTCAGCAATTTTTAGTCAATATCAAAATCAAAATTAAGAGGGGCATTTTATGTAAAATTAAAAGAAAACTGGAACATCGAGTGGTCAATTTCAGTTTTGAGGGGGTCAATGGGCCCCATGACAGAAACAGCATCATCCATGCTTTATAATCAGCCGACACATAGCCAAAGCTGACTGTATAAAGAGTATTTTTTGAAGATATTTCTGAACCTGTACAATTTTCACATACTTACGCACTCAGATCCCACAAACGGAGAGTTTTATCCCATGATCCAGACAGTGCGAACTGCCCATCTGATGACATGACAACGTCTGAAACAAAGTGTCCGTGACCTCGTAGGCACCTCAATGGGAGACCATAGTTGGCTTCATCCCTCGTCAACTTCCACATGATGAGGGTTTTGTCTGGAAATAAAATATTGAATAAATAACCTTAAGAGAAGAAAACAGCTGCACCACAATAAATTTTCAAAAAATGCCTAAATGGGGGGCACTGTTCAGACCTAAATAACAAATCACAGTTTCTAGCCTTGTCTGTCAAATATTATGGATGTATTGACATATGAGGCCAAAAAAATAATAATGTATGTTTAGGGTTCCAGACCGACCCTTTCGATCAATGTGCGACATGTGTGTGAAAGTGACTATTTGTTTCTAAAATATCAGTTTGAAGTGCGACCCAGGCGCGGGTCGATTATTTCCCGCATATTATAGAGGGCCGGAGTTCTGACGTTAATCGACGACGGACCAATATAAAAAAGTCGATAAAACGTCACAATAATTCGGACTAATCATGAAAGTGAAACTAGAATGTCATGCTACTCTCTGAAACAATTTCCTTCAATTCCCTTTGTAGGACAGGTCCAGTACACTCTGCCGATTGAGCTATATAGCTGTAAAGACCTATAATAGCTCTATTGACCTATCTGATATAGGTCTTTTGAGCTATTTTCATGTGATTTTCTTTTTTAAGGAAAACGAAACAAAGTCGCTTTTAAAAGAAGATCTTATCATAAGGTAGATAACAAAAGACATTAAATATAAGCATTCTTTTTAAAAAATAATGATGTAAAAAAATCGAAAATTTAACATTTATGGAAAATAAACACCTAAATGTATGCTTTTTGTAGTCAACATTACCATAAACCTTATTGTTTTATGCGACTTTCCTTTGATTTAATGAAAATTGAAATCTGAGAAAATATAGCTCAATACAGCTATAATGTATAGGTGAATATAGCTATATAGCTCAATCGACAGTGTACTGGACCTGTAGGAAGTAGTGAACGCTGCAGGATTAATCGCGCTTTCTGATCAGTATTTCCTTTACATCGCTTTAAACTGGTACAAGTTAAGATTAAAATCGAAAGTTACCATTTTACTTTTGCTGTCACTGTCAGTCGGTGAGCATCATGAGACAGTCCCCCCCCCCGGTCCTTTCACCAATATTCACCTACTAAGTAGTCTTTTCAATCATACGAAAATAAGTTGTCTATTCAATCATAGGAATAATAAATCTCAAACAGTCCTTTTTATTGAGATGAAAATCCTATAAAGTGAATCGAAGATTTTTTTGTACCATTCGTCCAAAGAAACTGATAACACGTCGATGTGTTTGTGAAAATAACGTACCCCGTGATGATGAAAGCACCATATCTGGGTATTGTGGGGTAGTGGCAATCTGCGTAACCCATCCTCCATGGCCCTTAAGGGTTCCTCTTAATGTCATTTGCTCCACCATGTTTATTTAGTGGTCTTCTCGCAACGATTGCGTTGGATTTCGGCCACTTCTATTTTACGTGGCCGTGGTCTATGGCGGAAGACCGGAAAAGGAAGTTGATTGCGAGTCAGGCTGAGAGGGCGCTGCATTTACCTCCACATAAAAATAATTTTCCACTTATTTGAGGCGTTATGTTCATTTCTAGTTTATTTAATTGTATTTCGCTGGAAATTGTGTGTTTGCACACTACCATATATTGATTGATTATATTAATAAGCATTATATCTTGCAATGACGTCACATCGCACCTCAGACCCACGGCGGCCATTTTGTGTGTAGCTGCTTTTGAGAACACGGGAAACCGTGTTCGTACATGAATTGGACACTGAAGAAACACTGAAAAACATAAAATGAATGTCATAGAAGATAGATCTGGTGCCAAAGAACTCGACCAATGGATTGAACAGTTGAATGAATGCAAGCAATTGTCTGAAAATCAAGTGAAATCGTTGTGCGAAAAGGTATATTTTTGCGCCGGTTGCTACGAAGTAAACTCGCATCGTCTCCCAAGGTGCTTTCACTAATATATGTTCAATGGTATGTTAGTTGTCATACTAGTAAGTTGCTATTGCTTTTCTCAGAGTTTCTTTTATATGCCAATTCACAACGAAAGCCGCAATGACCGTCTCCGATGCCTTGGCAGTCGGAACTATTTTCAAAAATATTTGTATCCAGGTCAGCATTTAGCTCTTCATAAAGCCAAGTTCATAGTCGATGATAAATTTATCGAGAAGCATTGAGCGAAAATGACCAAATGAAATACAAAACTAAATCATTGTTCTGCTTGAACAGCTTACGAATAAAATTCAGTCACTACCATTTTCTTCTCTATAATTATATCCAACCTCAATTTTGAACTTGCCGAGTGAGTATTTTGACAATTCACTGATATACGAGAGATATGTGCTGGGGGATTTTCAGAATCAATGCATCCAGATTGTGATTCAAACCTAGGTCCTCCCGAACTCTAAATTGATGTTTTAACCAATTAAATAATAATATTTATTCGGTAAAAGCAAGATACAGGTACAAATATCACATATGATCACAGATTTCAATTGCATAATAATCACAGATTTATCACAGTATTTAGATGATCACATCAAAGTTAATATCACAAATTTTGGAGCACTATAAATACAATGTATCTGTTTGACTAAGCTTTAACTTAGGATATCCCATGAAAGCTGGGTGGCAGCTTATTTCCAATGGGGTCCTCTAGTATAGATCTTAATTACTTAGATAACAAAAGGTCCTAAGGATTTGACCTTATAATATGAATATAAGATGGTATAATTTCTCGTAATAATATATATATGAATAGAATAAGTTGTAATTGGTCAAATATGATGATGATATATTATTTCATCAAAATAAGATGTTATTTTATTTGACGGTATAAGATGGAGTTGTCATTAGCAAATATGATTTCCTTCTGATAATATATATATGTGGGGCTATGCATGATGTTGTTTCCACTTGTAATATTAAAATATCAGTTAATTGAGCTTCCTAGTCGCTGGTGATCAACCAAGTGCAGTTCCGCACAAACCCTCAAGTCACATGAAACACTAAATCATCTTTAGTGGGTATATATTTTGTTTGGCACCAAATGTAACAATTAAGAGACGAAAAATGCACCTTTGACCTCCCGAACTCTAAATGCATGGACACTCGACTAATTGATCATGAGCTATCTTGATCTCGCCACCAACGATCAACCCAATCCAGATCGCTATTCAAATGAACTAAACAACTTGTGCATTACATATTAACTGTTACATAGGAATACTGCTCAAGTTATTTGTCTTTTTAATATTTTGAACAAGAAACAAGGAATGAGAACCCAGCATCCAGATTATATTCAAAAGAGAAAAAAAATATCATACATACATGTAATTTCTAAAGGCAGATGCCCATTTAACGGCATTGCCACTGATATTTTAATCAATTGAAATTTTCCGTTTTGATTTTGCAGGCTAAAGAGATTTTAACAAAAGAGTCAAATGTACAGGAAGTAAAATGTCCGGTGACAGTGTGCGGAGACGTCCACGGACAGTTCCACGACCTGATGGAGCTGTTCCGCATAGGTGGAAAATCCCCAGACACAAACTACCTATTTATGGGAGATTATGTAGATAGAGGTTACTACTCGGTAGAAACGGTTAGTCTACTTGTAGCTTTGAAGGTAAGTTCATCGTTTGATATTATGAGTTATGGTTTGACGGGGGGGTTAGAGGTCAAAATAGTAGGGAGACAATTTACAGTGGCATTTCAAAGATTTCTTTCGTTAAAAAAATTCACATAACAAACGAATGAGATGTACGCTTGCATTCGCGAATGTACTTCTGTTTCAGAGGCTTTAACAATCACAACTTTTCTGACACTCGCACCACCAGTTTTATTCTGCTTCGGTATGCGTCATATCATGAGTCATTTGCTCTCATTAATAGCTCGAGTCTGATTGGATAAAATTTTATTTACAGCCAATAATTAGTCTAATATAATGATTTTGGCTTGTGTCAAAATTAACTACCCGGATATTAAAAATCAAATTGTAAACAAATCATGTTGCGTAAATACTACGTTAAGAAATTGAAAAAGGAGTTGGACAGTTCACAGAAGAGTTTGCTTGGCTTTTTTCAAACGAAAAATGTGCCTGCTTCGGTTACTAATACGAAGACGACATTTGACCCTGGCGCCCCGATGATTCGACAGCAAACCTTGTCTGAATCGGCCCATACTATTGACCCTGTTGAGGAGTCGGATCATTCGATTTCTATTTCTAATATTTGTAGAGAGGTCATTCAGTTTAATGAACGACCTTTGTACTTTTCTGCAGACTTCTCTAACTACCAAACACCTTGAAGATTTAATGAGAATTAACTTCAATTCAGCTATAAACCTTACCCAGATGGAGTACCAGGAAATCATAAATTTATTCAAAAACACTAAAGACAGGCAGATGAATTTATAATTGAAATATTGAATATGTTTATTAGTTCTATACACTATTTTAATTCAACAGTTCGGCCATAGGCCTTTCTTTGTGTTATAGTTTCTAAAGATCACAGTTACGCTATGTCATGTGCATCTTGAAAGTTTAAGAAAACTTTGAAATATACAACAAAAAAAATGCTGCTGTTTTTTTGTAAATGTTGACCACCCGACCATTTATGATTAGTGTCTTATAGCCCCTCATTGACCAAAAATCAGTTTTTCTTCATCATTTTGCAATCTTGCGTGTCAATTTTTTTCACAATTTTGCAAATTCGCACATTGAATTTCACAAAACCAAAAGACTAGGGAGTCTTCACAATATTGAGTGGAAAGGCGCTGAGAGCAGATCACAAACTAAATGGCAGTTAATTTACCAATGGTCATTTGTTCAATGCTGCCTCTTATATATTGACATCACTGTTTATAGTGTGGTCAATATATATGTACCAGTAAGAAATGATTGTTGAAAGTGTTGATGTGAAAACTACATTGTGTGTTTTTTTATTTGAAATTGAGTAATATTACTTAAAAATTATAACAAAAGGTAATGATTATTAAATTTTGGTGTATACACTCTAGATCAGGGTCACACATACTTAATTCCATTCATCGGTTTTACCAATTTCCTTGTTCCAGGTAAGGTTTAAGGACAGAATCACAATCCTCCGGGGAAATCACGAAAGTCGGCAAATTACCCAAGTTTATGGTTTTTATGATGAATGCCTACGGAAGTATGGAAACGCCAACGTTTGGAAATATTTCACTGATCTGTTTGATTACCTCCCCCTTACAGCCTTAGTGGATACACAGGTAAGTCTGTGTTATTATCGACTTTGGAACATTTTAACCTATGACAGAGTTAGGGCTATTCCAGAAATGAATGTGTGGGGGGAGCGGGCGGCAACCAAATTAAATATGTATGCATGGTGGGGGTAAACTCAATTTTAATTGGATGCATGCTTTGTAAAATTACAAAATCAAATTTGTGGGTGGTGGGTTTGATCCCCCGCCGAAAAAAACAGTGTGGGGTAAATTTAGATACTTACATTATGTTCTAACCCATTGTCTCTTTATTTCCTCAAACCAATGTCAACATCGTTTTGTAAAACAAATAAAATAGCATTGAAGTGAAATCCGTGTTCTTGCCGTTTTTAACATTACAAGGGAGATCACTCTGGCACATCTCGCAGAATCTCATCGGCTTGAGAATCAACGAGATAACAACAAACATGGCGGCGACACGGAGGTGTGCATTCCTCCGCGCCACAAACTCCTGAAATCTGACCTGTCTGATCAACACATGTGTTGTTTTGCCTATGTATACCTTTCATTTTTCATTTAAACTTAATAATCAATTCCTAAGCCCATCATAGATGCAGATTATAACTGTTTAATAACTCCTAGCATAAAGAACGTTATTGTACTGGGAATTAGCTATTTTATTGTTTTAATATAAAATGTAGTATTACTTCAGTAAAGTTCAGTGTGCATTTATAATTGAATGCTTTTAAGATTTAAATGTCCTTGAACAACAATAATCGTAGAGTTTGCTGATGGTATAGCATCTTGCTTGTTGCACAGCTTGAATGTCCCGGACTAGTGTACACTTAATATTTCAGTGGTACGTATACTTTGTAATCGCCCAACTAAATATCCCTTGATAGAAGGATACACTTGTCTAGACATTCAGTTTTAATAAAATAAGTTTTTTTAAAGCAATACACATGTTTCATATTTGTTTGTTTATTCTTCAATCTACTGAGGGCTGTTCCAGTTTTGAATAGGTGGATTGGGGGACAGCAAGTTTTCAGCACATCCATCACATATGAATTATAATTAAAATTGTATCAATTAAATATCATTTCAATACATGTACATTATTCATATTGTATTTGCATCTACCCCACAACTCGTATATTTAATTTTCATAAGTGTGCCTTCCCCCTCCCCTACATAGTTAAAACTGGAACAGCCCTGATTTAATATTGTATTGTTGACTTGTTCGTAAAAAAATTGACAGGTATACACATGCATAGTAATCACAGATACAATACTACTGACAAGTCCTAAAGGGACCAAATTACCATATGATGAAGTAATTTTGAATTGTTTTGAATTGCTGCATTAATTAACAAACAAAAAAATAAGTACATCCCGACTTCATGTTTCTGGTGAATATTATAGATACATATACACCCAAGTCCATGATGAACCATTTCACAATTCTTCTTGGAAGTCCTGACAACTTGTGTATACAATACCTGCTGAAAAGAAGGTTATACATTATACCCTTTTTAATTATTCTCTTAATTAATCAACATTTATTCCCAAAATCAAATATTAGAAAATTTGTAGGTTTTTAAATTTAATTTTATGCATGGTGGGTATTTGTATAAAAAAAAATTGATGGGTTGTGGGTCAAAAAAAATAAAAAAATGATGGGGTGGGGGTCTCAGACAAATGCCCCCCCCCCCCCCCCCCCCCCCCCCCCCCCCCCNACACACACACACACACACACATTTAATTTTGGAATAGCCCTTAGACAATAACCAGTTTTGCTTAGTTGAATAGATATACTCTACTCCTATGTCAATGTAACTAGTTCTAATGTATGAAGATTTCCCTGAGAAAACATTTCCAGCACACAAAAAAAGTAAATTAATTGTATATGAGACATAATAAAAATACTGTCAAAAGATATGGTGAAGTTAAGGATAATTTTGATAATTATTATGTAAAATATCTGTATTTTAATCTATATATCAAATGATATTGTGATATCATATAGTTTAATTAGTCCAAAGGACCAGTAAAGTTAGGTGATTCACTAGTCCTTGATGATAACTATTAGTCTCAGACAGGTGATTCACTAGTCCTCGATGATAACTTTTAGCCTCAGACACGTGATTCACTAGTCCTTGATGATAACTATTAGTCTCGAACAGGTGATTCACTAGTCCTTGATGATAACTATTAGCCTCGGACTGGAGGACTAGTGTTCGTGTAGAAATCTGGTACATCATTTAGACAATAGATAGTTCAGTTTTGAGAAAATGTTCAGAAATTTTGATACATTGTAAAAGATGGAAAAAACATTATTTACTAATGAAAAAGGGGAATGCGTTTTCTAAAATGAAAAATTAAGTGACTAAAAGATCATTATTCTTGATGATTATCTCAAATAAAGTAGAGCTGCAGAATTTGCTCGCTCAGACATTTTCTAACCCTAGAAATTGACTAGACCATGATAATTTAGCTGAAAAAGATATGTTGTGATTTCAAATGTCTAATGTAATTATTGTTTTACTTTGTAGATATTTTGTTTGCATGGTGGTTTGTCTCCATCTATAGACACATTAGATCATATACGAGCTTTAGACAGAATCCAGGAAGTTCCTCATGAGGTAGGTTATGATGTTTTCAGCTATCTGTCTGCGTGTCACAAATAGGACTTCAGAAGACTGTCAGTACAGTTTGTAGCATTAACAGAAATTAATATTACAGTTCTCAATGTTTTGAATTGTCAGCACTGAATCTAATGATATTCCTTTCACTGATTCAAAAGTGATTTGTTCATGAAGCTAGCCAGTTGCTTATTCACACTTTTGACATCTGAAATCATAAGTTTGTACTTTGAGAGTGGATTTTCACTTTTGGCCGGACATCCTTAGGAATACATAGGTGGTGTAAAAAGGCAAACTAAAAAAACAATATTCTGAGTTTGTGTACTGTAATATGTTAAACTAATCAGTCTCTCAAAATTCTGCCCAGGGATCCCCTAAATTCATAATGTGACATTTATGAAAACCTCATATTTTATAGACTAAATGTGTGTAAAGATGCTAAGTTCAATGGGTTTTTTTTACAGCTTTTCAAGTTTATTGAGTTATTTAGTACTAAATGGACCCATTGTCTGCATTAATGTTAAAAAGAGTGTACAATTAGATAGTATTTGACCCATACAACACTATTTCAGGGACCAATGTGTGATCTTCTATGGTCCGACCCTGACGACAGAGGCGGCTGGGGTATATCTCCTCGTGGTGCCGGCTATACGTTTGGACAGGACATCTCGGAGACTTTCAACCACAGTAACTCCCTGACACTGGTATCCAGGGCGCATCAGCTAGTCATGGAGGTATCAATTTTGAACTTGTTGCTTTTTCTTGACTGCATAAAACTTGTTTGCATGTGAAGGATTTAAATGTTCTGTGTTAGAACTTGTTTTGTCAAAGTCCCATTGTCCATTTTCTTAAGTTCTACTTTTAAAATCAGTGAAAGTTATAGATAAGAAAATATCCAGTTTAAGAATGTCATCATTTGCAAAGAATATTGCACAGGGAAATGTTTGATATGACTTTTGTAACACTGAGCAACTGGCAACATTCATTGTTGGCTTTTTTTCTGGTCGTAAAAATAAAGTTCAAAATGACACGATATCTTAAAGGCCCTAAGTGATGACTGTTTCTTTTAAACCCCACCTACCCTACAATGTTGATATATGCCAATTTTGTGCAAGCACTTTTGAGTCTTGAGGCTTTGATACTGAAAAATACTGTATAGTGTTGTGATCAATCTAAGGTTGGAATTGTTCATTATGAAGTTTCAGGGGTGAATGAGTTGAGAATTGTCCAATGAATTTCCATGAAAATCTAACTGAAGTGTTTCTTTTGAAAGGGCTACAACTGGTGTCACGACCGGAATGTGGTGACAATATTCAGTGCCCCTAACTATTGTTATCGGTGTGGAAACCAGGCCGCCATTATGGAACTAGATGATGCTCTTAAGTATTCATTGTAAGTAAACACTTTTTTTGAAAAAACATTTCATCAAATTGATTTAAAATCCCATGTGGTTTGGATTTAATGGGTTATGATAACATAAACCTATAAAATAAAACCAACTCCCTCCTGTTACAATTACTACTTGGAAATGGTCTTCAAAATGATTTGATTTCTGCAGCAAGACCACTTTCCCATATTGATACATATTGCTCTATTTTTGTTGGTGTCTTATTAATTTGAAGCAGGAAAAGAGATTAACGTTTTTATTTTTTCAACAGCTTGCAGTTTGATCCAGCACCAAGGCGAGGCGAACCTCATGTAACAAGAAGAACTCCAGACTACTTCCTGTAGAAAGAAAACAAAGAGCTTTGCAGAACAATTTCATGCGCTAATATATCTAGAAATGTTGTACCAGAGTTTGTATGTAACGTTTTTTGTGCTGGTACGCTGCCAACTGATCTGTGACCAGTAGCTGCATACCGACCAGCGACATATTGATCCCTACCAGCACTCAACGTATGACATTTTAGTCTTTTATTGTTATATGGAGAGAGGAGAAAAAAAATGCACAGCTCATAAAGGATTGACGAAGTCTTCAATGTAAAGATGATAATTTTGAGGGAAGTGGGGGCATTCGAAACAAGATAGCAGGGGAGGGGATCTTTGAAAACATTACTTTTTTTTGTAGGAGGATGTTTGAATGTGGGGAATAGAACCCTCTAGTTTCCATCTTTTACAGACACGTATGTTTGGTGTCATGAGTGTGCAATTTCAATTTGTAGTTATCTTTACGTGTTCAATTTGTGACAGGCAGTTAGATTAGGAGATCATGGTAGGCGTGTAATCCTGTTACATTCATAGCCAGAAGCCGGAAAGACAGCGACGCAACATCACCAACATCAGAGAAATGATTTGATGAACAGATTTTTTCAATAGCATTATTTTTCAATTCATGACGTTGTGTTCTATCTTTCCATGGGAAGCAATAAGAACAGATTTTTTGGGTTTCAGTTTCGGGGATTGCAGATATTGTACTGTGCAGGAAAATCATAGAAAAAAAATCACATATATCCAATTTCCCCTCCAAGAATTTTTTCCTCTCCGTAGAAGTGATAAGTTTTGTGAGGAGAAGGTGGTAAGAATCCCAGTGTGATTATTTATACTCTAATGTAAGTAGTGGGCCATTTGTTTGGGTAGCGACACTTATTGCTGGTGTAAGGTAGGCATTACTGTGCTATATTGATTTCTTGTTATATTTTGTACAGTGTGTGTGTGTAAGTCGATAGATAACATGATTACGAGCGATTGTATGGAAGAAATCTTGTTTATTGTCAAGCCTTTGTCTACTATTGAGTTTTATTTCTTTTCGTTCTGCCAAATGTTCAAATTAGTTGAATTTTCCCGCAAAAATTTGTTGGTAGTTCAAGTAAATGAGAACATATTTGTAAAAATAACATGCATGGCTATTTGACATGTGCTGTATATGATTGGATTAAAAAGTCCTGCCGTATTTGTGGGAATGGCGTAGTATGTAGAATATGTTTTAATGAACCCCATTTCTTTTCCGTTACATTCTCTCATGCGAAGTAACTTGCATCCTTTTCTGATTGTCTACACATTGAGCTAACAGATAACATTGATGATATATTCCAAGGAACTTCATATAAAAGTCGCTCACTTGAAACTTGTCTTTTTGTGGTTGAAGATTTTTCTATGGTTGCTTTTTCATGATGAATTATCACAAAATAGATGCAGGTTAAAAACTGTTTTATAAATCATTTTTAATAGAAAGTTAAACCAATGCTTCAAACATTTTCGAAGCAACCAACTCAAGTCTTCACCATCTTTTCCCATGTTTCAGATTTTAATTTTTTAATTTTCAATACTAATACTAAATTCTTCGAGTGAATTGTGATGGTATATAAATATGTTTGAATATTCGCATACAATCTTGTATTTAAGTAATTTAATGACCAAATATTATTTTGCTGTTTGAAATCAAAAGTGTAGATTTGTATTATTCCATTAGAAGTTCAGTTTTGTCGCGCTGATGATTAATGTGTGCTATAAGTAGGCTTCATTTTATTGAGAATCTTCTTTTGCGATCTTTCGTTCTATGATGTATTGAAACTATCATTATCTTCTGTTAATCCCGATACTGAGGAAGTGTTGAAAGGGGGGACTATTGAATTACATATATAGATAAGAACTGTTTTGTTCCACATGCTTCAGTACAGTGCATTGTAGTGTGATTAATATTTAAAGAATTTTTATAAAGATTTTTTTTTTTCTCACCATGATCGTCCTTAGCAATGAGTAACATGCCATGGGTGTCGTTGAATCGGGAGATGCAAGATTTTAGAATTTACAATTTGCACAGGAATACAATTATATGTCGACAAAGTTATTGATAATAAAGAATAAGTAACATATTTATTTTTCTTTGTTGAAATATTTTCTACCAGATAAAAAACCTGTTCTCGTTTAATGTCTCTCTTACATTTTGACCAAGGTGAGCTTATGCCATAATGTGGCATCCGTCGTCCGTACGTCAACAATTTCTTCAAACGATTCTTCTTCTTAACCAATGATTCTCTACAACTAAAAACTGGACATCAACCATATTTGACTGGAAGCATCCCTAGGTAATGGGGATTCAAAATTACAAATGGTGGGGCTGAGGGGCGAAGCCAAAAGGGGCAATTGGGCTATATTGCTATAATGACTTCTTCTGTAGAACTATGCGCTGGATATCAATCATATTTGGTCAGAAGCATTCATGAGAGGTGGGGATTCAAATTTGTACAAATGGTGGGGCTGAGGGGCGTGGCCAAAAAGGGTTATTTGGCTATATTGCTATAAATGACTTCTTCTGTAAAACTATGCACTGGATATCAATCATATTTGGTTGGAAGCATTCATGAGCGGTGGGGATTCAAATTGTAAAAGTAGTGGCGCTGACCCCCTTGGCTAAAGGGTGGGGCCAAAAATAGTTTATTGCTTGGAAATGGTTGAGATCCCCACCCTATAACCATGAATACAATTGCTGAGAATGAAGAAAAGATTGCACATGTTTCCAGGATTGCCCAGGGTCTGGCCCCTCCCTACCTTGGAGTCATAGTCCCTGGGCCATAACTTTGAAACGGTTGAGATCCCCACCCCAAAACTAAGTATATAGATACTGGGCATAAAGAGATGAATGCAGTCATGATATTAGAATAGACCCTGGGGTCTGACCGAACCCCTAGAGACCTAGTTTCTTAGTCACAGCTTAGAAACATTTGAGATCCCCACCCCATAGCCATACATAAAATTGCTGGGCATGAAAAATCTAATACAGATATGCTACAAGGATTGGCCTTGGGGTCTGGCATATTCCCTTGGATCTCATTTGGAGAATATTTTGCCATGATTGCTTAGATATCCAGGTGAGCGATACAGGCCCTCTGGGCCTCTTGTGTTAATGATGCTTCAATAGGACTTCGACAGCAGGGAGTGCTGTAGTTCCAATAGTGGTACCTATGAAGTTCCATTGAAGTTCAATAGCAGTACCAAAAATGTCCCCCAGCAGTACCAATAAAGTTCCCTGGGAATGCTATTGAGGTCCCCTTGCAGTGCTTTTGAAGTCTCATGGAAGCTCTATTCATTCCCCTGGCAGTGCTCTTGAAGTCCCCTTGAAGTGCTGTTGAAATCTCCTGGCAGTGCTGTAGAAGTTCTGTGTAAATGCTATTGAAGTTCCTTAATTGGCAGACTAGGACCGGGTAACACGGTACTTTTTCTTTTGGCTTGGTACAGAGTACATTTAAGTTATGTGCTGGTAAAAATTTGCCATAATATCAATTGTTATATATAAGCAACGTACCAATCATATAAGTGGACTTGCATAAAACCTGTGTAGTGATCAAAAACATTAAAAGTACTCTTTAAATATTTTGCTGCATACAAAATGTAGAAAAAACGAACTGTTAACCTTGTAATTAAGGCAATACATACCATTCTAAAATACAGAAATGCCATTCCATTCCTTTAAGTATTTCCACATTTCTAGATTCCTTCTGCACTCACTATTTAGATGTACATGGTGGTGTAAATGTTTTACTTTGGTTGATAGCGAAATGAGATAAGAAACAAAACTACGCCCTGGTACTATTATTCACATAGCAAAATTTAAATGTCCTAAAAATTGTAGTAGTTCATGTTTAGCATGTGAGTTTCTCTGACACAGTTACTCTATGAAGAATACAATTCTTTCGATTTTCTCCAGGGGCAACCGAGCTTCCATCTTGTTTGTATCTAAGATAACACCAGATACTCGAGATTTATTGTTGGCCCAACTGTTTTTAGCTCACCTAGCCTGAAGGGCCATGTGAGCTTATGCTGTACTGCGTAGTCCGTCGTCCGTTGGTTAACTTTTTCTTTTGAACAACTTCTTCTGAAGAATTGGAGGACCTAGTGTCATGATATTTGGCCAGTAGGTACCTGGGATGGAGTGCTATAAATATTCCTCATTAAAATGACCTTGACCTAGTTTCAAGGTCACAGGGGTCAAATATGTTCAAAAATTGAAACAACAATATCCTAAGAACCATTTGGACTAGAGTCAAGATACTTGGGTATGTTATATAGACCAGCAGTGCGAATATTTTTCTTAATTACAGTAAAACGGTCAAAGGTCAACTTTAAGTGCTAGTCGAGGGTCAAATGTCAACATGGGTTAAAAGCATTAACAATCTTCTCAAATTCCATAAGGCCCAGGGTCATAATATTTGACCAATAAGTACCTGGGATGGAGTGCTATAAAGTTCCTCATTAAAATGACCTTGATCTAGTTTCAAGGTCACAGGGGCAAACATTTTCAAAAATTAAAACAACAATATCCTAAGAAACATTTGGACTAGAGTCATGATACTTGGGTATGTTATATAGACCAGCAGTGCAAAGATTTTTCTTAATTACAGTAATGAGGTCAAAGGTCATCTTAAAGTGCTAGTCGAGGGTCAAATGTCAACATGGGTTAAAAGCTTTAACAATCTTCTTAAATTCCATAAGGCCCAGGGTCATAATATTTGACCAATAGGTACCTGGGATGGAGTGCTATAAAGTTACTCATTAAAATGACCATGACCTAGTTTCAAGGTCACAGGGTTCAAATATGTTAAAAACTTCAAACAACAATATCCTAAGAACCATTTGGACTAGAGTCATGATACTTGAGTATGTTATGTAGCCCAGCAGTGTGAATCATTTTCTTATTCACAGTAATGAGGTTAAAGGTCAACTTTAAGTGCTATATTGGGGGTCAAAAGTCAACATGGGTTAAAAGCTTGAACAATCTTCCCTAAGTTCCATAGGGCCCAGGGTCATTTGGCCAGTAGGTACCAGGGATAGAGTGCTATAAAATGTCCTCTTTGAAATGACCTTGACCTACTTTCAAGGTCACAGGAGTCAAAAATGTTAAAATCTTCAGACAACGATATCCTAAGAAGCATTTGGTCCATAGTCATGATACTTCAGTAATTAGGTCAAATGTCAACTTTAGCCGGAGTCAAAGGTCAATGTGGGTTAAAAAAACCATTTCAAATTTCAAACAACAATATCTTAAGCGTTTAAGAGATGTTAAAATGTCTTGTGTTCTAGTTACCAAATTTGGTCTGAAGTTACCTATATGTCAGTTTCATGTAACAAAAGAAACAGGTGAGCGATACAGGCCCTCTGTGCCTCTTGTTTTTGGCTATTTATCCAAGTATTAAAAAGTGTTTTTCTTATTCAGCCTTATCAAAGTCATATATGGCTGAACCATATATCTTGAATCAGGAAATGACCCAATATATTCAACGTGTGTGACGAAAACAGATCAATCAGCCCGATGTCAAAGAGGTTCAGAAGTAAGTCTGCAGGAGTCGTATTGGTCCCAACATTTGCAGAGTTATGTCCCTACATGCAAGGTTTGTATTTCAGATAGATGGAGCACAGGATTCCAGAGCACAGTTGGTTTGTCATCTAAAACTTTCAAATATTTTTGGCTCGTATTTTTTTGCCGTGATGCGCCGTCCGTCATCTGTCTATCTGTCACGTTTCTGTTTACGTGCAATAAGTGTTCTAATAATGGTCCTATTTCAACAAAATTTGATGTGCACATACACATTTATATGTTTCGGACTGAGCTCGCTGGTAAATACGATCCCGGCCTAATGTCTCTGTAATACATGTAGATTGCTTACACAATATGTGGTGTGTACATACAACATGCTTAAAACTTAGTCTGCAGAGGAATGTCATCTGCGAATATTTACGCATAATCAATTACTCTTATACATTCTGATTGCTGATGATATGATTGGGAATATGGGCAAAGGAAGCAATCCCCATACAGAATATAACTTTCCCTATTTATGATCAATTGAGATCACTCTTGTAACGGATCCATTTCGTAAGTACAATAATGTTTTGAGAGACCCTGAACTTCTCTCCTGTAATGGATTTCTAGATATCAAATAGATGAGGACAAATAACCGCACCTACTCTTATTCCCGGACTAGCGGAGCTCAGGATATCAGTCAGTCAAATCTATATATGGTATCCAATGAAATTGTTGTAGACTAGAAATTTTCCAATGAAAAGTTTCCATAATGACTTATCACTTGCGAGTTATTTCTTATACAAACCATGTCTTTATAATTGACATTACTTTCCCACATCATGACTGACCTTGAGACATACTCAAATCCATGGGGGTCAAATGTGTTCAAATCTTTGAACGACTTCTTATCAATAACCAAATGTCAAAAGGGTTGCAAACGGATGACGTAATGAATCCAAGAAATGTTACAGAAGAGGAAAAAACAAACAAACGTACCGCGATTCGAACCAGGGACATCTGAACTCTAGACGGACGCTGGCAATTGACCCAGTCCCGTTCCGCTACATTTATTTTTTATACAAAGAATCCGTTTTGCCATATTTCACAGGTGGTGTGATCGATAGGGACTAAGAAGAGTTCATTTACCATCTTGCAACAAAATCTCTATAAAATCGTGCTTGAGTCTGTTGTTTCCAGAATATTAAGCAGTTTTATTTTTCGACAACATATTGATAATTGGAATTTTGGACATTAGATTTCGTAAAAATCAGTTGATACCGAATTGTAATATTGACAAAATGGACCAAGAATATTTGTATATGTTTGTATAATAATCCATTATCAAATTTGCGTTACATATATGGATTAAAAAAGAAATCATTAGTTTGAACTCATTTTGAATTCATAAAATCGATTTATTTCTCATTAAAGATGAAATGCATTGAAAAACTGAAGTACAAAGGAGGGAAACTTTAACTTAACTCTAAAGTATGGAAGTCCGGTAAGCAATGTCGAATACGGAATGCATAATGCGAAACGCTTTCTGTCATAATAATGCTATTGCTAAATGCG